TCACCTGGGGTTGAACTGGTATCTTGTGATCTGACCTGTGGAGTGTTAACCACTACACTATGGACCCACAGGTCATAAAAGGGTAATAATTCGAACATAATAACACTTATTACAGTATTACCCCCAATAAAAATTTAGCAATAACTAATAATTACATTTGAGTCGCCCGTGACAAACCTCATACAGTACTAGAATGACGTATGATGCGTTCACGGTTAATGATTTTTCCATTTTTGGATGTCATTGCGTGCAAAACTTGTGATCAGATTTTTATTTTTAAAAAAAAAGGTGTTAGTTACTGTATCGATTCGCATGACAATAGAAGTAATTCAAATGAAGTTTCTCAAACTTACCTTCGTCGACAAGATGTGTTGCAGGAATTAGTGAAAGCCTTCGTTAACCTCATAAACCAGAATGCAAAGATTAAGCTTGCAGATTCAAGGAAAAGAGAGAAGATTCGTATTCGTGATTAGAGTTATACGAGAGGGTTTGAACGACAAAAAATTAAGACGAGTATCTAATTACCTGAAGGTACGTATTATGGACTAGTACGAAGTTGGCCGAAATTGCTTCAGCTATTGAAACAATAGAAGAAAAGCTTTGTGCCAAGTTTTCTCTGATTCTTTGTGATGCCCAAGCAAAAACGATAATGGCAATCGGAGTTGAAGAGACTAAAAAAAGAAAAGAATAAGAAGGTGGCAACATATGCTCGTAGATTTTAGGACCTAATGAAAAGAATCGATGTGAACCTGAAAGGGATAAGGTGAAAGTGTTTGTAGGAGAGTTGAGAAAGAGAACTACAACAGTACTCATTAGAGGGAAAAACGTCATGTTAAATGAAGCAATAAAGGAAGTTAGTTGGGTCGAGGATAATGAAAGGTTTAAGGTGATTAAAGAAAGTAGGAAACAAGAGAAACCAAAAAAGACACAAAGGTTAGCAAACAAGATCCAAGAATTAATTCAACAAATCAAAAAGGTCTAATATTTCGAAACCGTAGAAGAAAGCAGGGCGAAGGGCAAAGGCAAGAGGGATTTAAAGCAGGAGCAAACGATCTATCATAAGGCAATCCTAAGGAAAACAAAAGGTGGAGATAACGTAGGGCCGACGATGATCAAGACTAAAATTCGCAAAACAGAATCTGGGAAAGAATGAAAACAATGACACACATTTAAACATTGAAACATACGGACACCATCCTTTGACTTCGATAATGAAAAGCAAGGTGCGAATGATAAAATAACAAAGGACGATAAAAGAACCAACAAAGTCCAAGCTAAGCCGAACTCAGGGCCTACTAATAAAAACAATGAATCAGGATGTGATAAAAGAACCGGAACCAGAGATCTTGACAACAAATACCGATTACACAGAGTTTCAATACATACCTATGTTAAACAAAAGGGGTGTCAA